AGGAATTTGCGGCAACAGAGACTTCTGGAGAGAAAACTTACACGAAAAATATACCTAAATTAGCCGTCTTGAAAACGCTGTAACTTAAACATTTATTTAATATTTTAAACTAAAAAATATTGAAGTAAATTTAAATTTGACTGCTTTCAGAACGAGATCAGCGCAAAATCTGATTCCTGTTGTCTCTAAACAAAGCGGTAATTTTTCATTAGGAAGGAAGCCAAATCAACGATCTGATTTAAATGTAGGAACTAATCAATCAACAACGACAATTGCTAACACGTTTACAAAAGCAATGCCATCAAGTGGCGAAACAATATTTAAGGAGAAATCTTAATACACTGACAGCTCATAGGGAAAATGTTGTATCAAAAGAAGAACGTGATTAGTAAAATATTTTTTTTTCTAATATGTAAGCATGATAATTTATAATAAAAGAACGAAAATGTTTGCTCATGTAGTACTTAGCTGGTAACTAATGTCACATTCAGCCTTATCATGAATTTCATTTTCCCCTAACCGGTTCATTTTTCACTTTACGTTTCCGTGTATTCATTATGGGCGGATGAAAAAATTTCGGGTGAAACTCACGATAAGGCTGAATATTTTGGGAAAACATAAACCTGTATACTAGGGTGCTCGATTATAAAACTTCACTGGTTTTCAATACTTAATCAGGGCTACCACAGAATCCATCGTAGCTTCGATTTTCGTGAAACCTACGAAAGTGCTATCACAGAATCCGAATGGCTACGAACGTAAATTCGAAATTCGTAGAGAGCATTCATTGAATCCGTTCGTTATGAATATTCGTACAGATACACTACGACGAGTTTATGCTGTCGGAAGAAAATTTAAAATCACTGAATCTTAAAAATAACGGTGAAAAGCTGCATTATTGTTAATAATAAATATTTATTATACTCCATATTTTTTATAGTTTGATATAATTCCATATATTTGTGTAAACGTAGACGTAAAATATAAATGGCATACATACCTACATATGTACATTCATATATTCATCTGCTAGACGCTATTTAATGAATGTTTTTTTTGAAGCGAGGAAATAATAGTGTAACAACAATTTATTAGGAAAGAAATCTAATTACTTTAATATCATATAAATTTATTTAAAAAAATACAAATTTAAATTATTTAAAAAAAAAATGTTTCTCTTTAAAAGAATAAGATCTAAACTAAAAAAAAAAATAAAAAAATAAAAAAATTTTATAAAAAAAGAAAAAAGCTCCACTGCCGACGACTCAGACTCGAACTCGGATCTCCCAATTGGCAGTCTAGTGCTTTGCTCACTCGGCCATTGCGACTGCTGGGGCAGCGTGAGCAAAATGGCATACATAAATGTCTATTGTTTCCTATGCACTTGCTGATTTCGAATCAACAATCGAAGCTGGCAACGATATTTTCGAGTTCACTCGGAATCAGTGATAGCAATTTTTTCGTATTCGTAGCAGGCATTCAAATTCGTAGATTTTCTACGATGGATTCCGTGATAGCCCTGATTATGAAATCATTTGCTGAATCAAATCCCCATCAGATCTGGTAGAATATATCGCACGTAAATGCATCCTTGGGTCTTGGACTTACAGTTGGAATTGCATTTGCAAATTTTATACTTACTGCCATTAGTGTTGCCAGTTTAGCTTTTTTGAGGCTAGATCTAACTCTTTTCTTTATCGAAATTTAGAATTTAGCTTTCATGGCTTTTTTCTAGCCTTTTTTTATTTTCAAACTAGCATTTTTTAAGGAAATCATTCCCATAGCGCGCCCTTATTCCGCTGCTATAATTGCAAATGCAATATAATCCATCGTTTCCTCCAAAATATGTAAAAACAATTACTATAAATAAGCGTTTCATAAGTGTTTTTTTAATTCCTTTCCACTTTGTTTTCCTTCATTCAGCTGTCTTCGAAAAACAACTGACAGCTGGGAATGCTGCACATGTTTCCGCAAGGGTTGCAGCATGTGGATTTTTCGTTTTGACGAATTACGAAAATTCGGGTTCTAGAATAAGGGGGTTTGTTTGATAGAGAGAAATTTATTTACCCTATAACTTTTACCGGAAAAGAGCATGAACAAATCAAACAACGACGTGGACATTATTTTCAGTGTCATTGCCTGCCTATACAGTGCCGGGTCTAGTTTAACAGCCTACTAAGAACTGCAACATGATGTTGTGCTTCCTCACTGGGAGCATGTCCGGAATCTTGTATTGTGGCAGGTCTGTAGCTTCGTCTACTGCGTCCTACTTGTCCCCGGCGGCCACACTGACGCTGCATAATTTAGAACAGGCTGGACATTATTATTTTGTATTGGCAATTGGGATTGTGTGCGCAGCGGAAGAAATCAGGACCTTTATTCTGTAGTTCTAAACGAAAAGAAGTTCTATCTGAACGCCTAATACGGCTGTCCCACGGCACCCCAATTACGTAGTTCGCGCTCTCATTCGTAATTCGCCATACAAAATTTTGAGAGCGAATTACCTCATTTGTTGGTAATTCAGATCCAATTACCATGCGAATTACGAACAAATCGGTGCCGTCTCTAATTTTTATCGGAAATTTATCGAAACTAGCTCACAAATCAAAACCTGCATTTTTTCTGAGTACGAAAAGTAAAGTTTATCAATGTGTATATCCCTAATTTAATACAAAAACTTATTAATTTTTAGGAAGAACCTACATTTTGCATAAATTTTGCAGCTAAGAAAAACAAAAACAAAACACAATGACAGAAGAGTTTCGGGTGGATTTGGCAACTTGGCCTTAAGAAACCCTCCTGCAAAAATCGTTGGACCATGTAGTCTATTTGTGGTATATTGGAGTACTTACAAAAGTGCTCCTCTGTCATGCTGTAGCGGACCTACTCGTGTCTTTGCACCAGCTTATTGTTACCCGATCACTGCTCGTGTTTTAACGAAATGTGATTGAAGTTCAGCATTTAAAAGTACATTTGCATATCTGGCTGTAACTGAACGTGTAGAGATGCTAGCTGTTAGTTCTTAGCTCCCAGCATGTTCGGGTTCGAATGTCGTCAGAGGCAACATGTAATTTTAATTTTTGTTTTTGGTTTTTATTCATTTCAAAAAAGGCATCTGCGAAGTGAAGAACAAAAGCGTGTACAAACGAAAAAATATAACGACAATGTCATTGGAGTATGTTAGGAGTAGTTTTGTGCTACCTGATGTAATGCAGAGATAATTTTGGAGTACTCCTTGGTCCTTCGGGAGTACTCTTTACATGCATGCATGGAGTAGTCGCGATTTTTGCAGGGTCATAGAAACTTTTATTGATATCTATGGTAGAGCACTCGGTTAAATCACATGTATTTACCCGAAACTGGTCTTGCTGAGATTTAATTCGATTCGATTCCATACCAGAAATCATTTATCACGAATGCCGCGATGCGGGCTCAGGCAAAGCAATTTCGCCTTGGGACCTGGCTATCGACGGTTACACCGAGGATTTTTGCATTGTTCAGTGTCTGAATTGGTACGCCGTCAATACCTGGGAACTTCTCTTTAATGAGATACGAAAGATAAATGCGATGAGACAGGCAACGATGTATTTTCCTACTGCACCACATTGCCCTTGCCCTTTCGTCGCATTGGTCTTTCGCATCGATGGTCACCCGTACTCACCGCTATTGAAAACTAATAGGCGCTTGGCTTTGTCCACAGAAGGATGCAGAGTGTATTCTTGGCTAAAGTAGCTCCACAGTAGGATAAAGTGCCAGTTTCAAGACGCGGGAAAATCACGTTGATTCGATTTATGTGGACGAAAATGCCCAACAGCGTCAGAAAAAAAGTAATACAAATTAACGCGATTTTCTAGCTTCTTGACACTTGCACTTTATCACACTAAATTTAATGAGCCATAAAACTGCATACTTTAAGTCTTTCTAAAATTTCTAAATAAAAAGTAGAAATTTTTGGGGGATTTTGGTAAAATTTGTTCACTTTTTGTAATTATTTTACAAAGTTTGAAATGTGGATTCATATGGTGCTTGTTATATGTATAATGCGCTAGACTTTTTAAAAAAAGTATAAAACTCGCATAAACAAAAGAAATATAGCCAAAATTGGTCAAAGTAGAAAGTTTCTACTAGCTCTGATCCAGTACTCCATAAACTTACGGGATTTTACACGAACTTGCAGGAAGTTGCAGGAAAAATGTTCCCGTACTCCGAAATCCTCCAAAATCCTGTAAATGAGAGCGACTTTTGGAGAGTTGTGTAGAGAATGAAGTTGCAAGATTTTACCGGAACTTTTTCTTCTGGTAAAATCATGAAAAGTGTCAAGCAATCACTGGTTGATGTTTTTACAGGAAAAATGGATTTTTTGTTCCCGTACTTTTTGTTGTTACTCACTTTTTACTCTCACTTCAGACAGTAATTTTGCTGTTTGACAGTTTTACAGGATTTTTCACGAAAAGTATTGGATCAGAGCTACTACTTCTTCCACCACTGTGTTGTTACTCACTTTTTACTCTCACTTCAGAGAGTAATTTTGCTGTTTGACAGTTTTACAGGATTTTTCACGAAAAGTATTGGATCAGAGCTACTACTTCTTCCACCACTGTGTAATAAAAAAAAAATTGTATGCAACTGAATAAAAAATAGCTCTGATCCAATACTTTTCGTGAAAAATCCTGTAAAACTGTCAAACAGCAAAATTACTCTCTGAAGTGAGAGTAAAAAGTGAGTAACAACAAAAAGTACGGGAACAAAAAATCCATTTTTCCTGTAAAAACGTCAACCAGTGATTGCTTGACACATTTCATGATTTTACCAGAAGAAAAAGTTCGGGTAAAATCTTGCAACTTCATTCTCTACACAACTCTCCAAAAGTCACTCTCATTTACAGGATTTTGGAGTACGGGAACATTTTTCCTGCAACTTCCTGCAAGTTCGTGTAAAATTCTGTAAGTTCATGGAGTACTGGATCAGAGCTAATGTTTCAACACTTCGATACTTTTGGTATTCGCGATAACTACTCTGTTCTTGTCAGAAAGTATCGCAAAAAGTATTGAGGTCGCGATACTACTCAGTACTCAACAGTACTCGATATTTTGTACTCGTATCGTTCTATTACTAATCCTGTATAGTAGTTATTAACCAAAACCCACAGTGTATATCCCAAAATCTCTTGTCAATCATTGCTTAATAGTATCAGACAGTTTCCAAAGCAAACAAATTTATATGAATGGCGAATAATTTTAAACGGCAATGACCGAAATCGAGAATGATGTTTGGAAACTTTGGTGTCGCCTCTGTGCTAAGGAGGATGCAAGAAATATCAACGTTTTCCCAGAAACGAATGGGGCAGCGGTAGATAAAAACTGCAGTTATAGCAACATTGTTAATTTTATTGAGGTGTTTTTTCGGGTTCAAGTAAATATAAATAGACATATACATACATATTTACACAGGCTATAAGATATATAATTTTATGTTGAAATTTGTTTAGATTGAAGAGGACCAAGATCCACCCCATTGGCTCTGTATGGAATGTTTTTCCTTAGTTTCGAACTTAATTTACTTCGCCGATCGTGTTCAAAGGGTGCAAAATATGTTCAAAGACATAAGAAATATAAGCTACAATCAAATACTAAACTTCCCAGAAATCCGCGAAAAATATAACTTACTCGGCGATGAGCTATTAATGTTCCAGTCTTTGGATGCAAAACCTACAGTTGAAAACATATTTGTTACCCCCGAAATAATGGTACAAAAAGCATGGGATAATGTTATGAATAATGAAGTAATATCGGATGAAGTGCAAAGTGGCGTACTTTTGGATGAGGTCGAATACAAAAGCGAGTTCGAAGATCCTATTGGTGAATTGATTGAAAGTGTTGGTACGGATATAGAGGATCATGATTGCAGTAATAACAGCAGGGGAAATAAAACCGTAGACAAAGTCGAAGCGAAGATCAACAAGCGATTCTCAGTAAAATATGGATTAAAAAAGCATGATAGAAAAGTGAAAACGAGGTTGTGCAAATCCGAGGCGGAATCGGCGAAGCACAAATACTTCTGCAACGACTGCTCATTGCATTTTCATCGAATTGGAAATTACAAAGCTCATATGAGAAAAAAACATGAAATGGTCGATGAATTGGTGCCATTAACATGCCCCCAATGTCCGAGGACTTTCAAAACCAGTTGGAAACTTGCCCGCCACATCAAGACTCATCGACCACTTTCCGAAAAGCGTATCTTTCCATGCCCGCAATGTGATCGAAAGTTCGGAACAAAGGATTATGTATCCAGACATATTCAATTTGTACATGAGGATATACGCCCATTTATTTGTGAGGAATGTGGAGAAGCTACACGCACGGAAGCAACTCTACGAGAGCATATGCTAATCCACACCGACATTACGCCTTTTGAATGTGAAATATGCAAAAAGGCTTTTAAAAATCAGTCGCGTCTGAAGGTGAGAAATAATTTGTTATAGATACATATATATATTGTGAAATAATGTCCGTAAATGTTTTATACATATGTTCATCTATATATACATACATATCTAGAATCACATGGATATACATAGTTCCAATAAACACGTCTGCAGTGAATGCGGCTTACAACTGAACTCACGGGTAACTTTAAATCGTCATATGCTCGTACATTCAGATATCATGCGCCACAAGTGCGACTATTGTGGTCGGGCATTCAAACGAGCAAAAACACTGAAAAATCATTTAATACTCCATAGTGGCCTGAAACCGTATTCTTGTGACTTTTGTGATAAAACATTTGCTAATGGGCCCAATTGCCGTACTCACAAGAGGAAATCACATCCGGAGGAACTAGCGGTATTAGAGGCTTCAGGAGAGAAAGCTTACACGAAAAATATACCTAAATTATCCGTTTTGAAAACAGTGTAAGTTTAAGATTTAGTTAATGTTTTAAATTAAAAAAAAAACTTGGGGTTAATATATATTTAATTCCTTTCAGAACGAAATCAGCGGAAAATTTGATTCCTGTTGTCTCTAAACAAAGCGGTAATTTTTCATTAGGAAGGAAACCAAATCGCCCATCTGATTTTAATGTAGGAACAAATCAATCAACCGCGACTAAAGCTAACTATTCTATTAAAGAAACGCCATCAAGTAACGAAACATTGTTTCAAGAGAAATCTTAATATAGTGACAGCTATAGGAACAATATTTTCCCAAAAGAAGAACGTGGTTTGTAAAATAAATATTTTTACAAGCTTTTATTTAATGGCGTTTTCGTTTCTACCGAAAAATGTTACCTTCTTATTGCCCTCTCAGCAAAAACACTAAGAACCGGGCAGTGAAAAGGTAATCTATTTTGTAGAAACGAAAACGCCATAACTTGCTATATATATATAGTCGGAATCAAAAGTTTCCACACACCTTGTTCTAATATAATAATACAGATTCCTTTCATGACATTTTCCTCTATCGTTTTTATGATAATATGGTTCATATAACATAACCAAATTAATCGAAGTTTCACACTTTATATGAAACTCGCGGAAATTCAACAAATTTCTCATACAATTTTCAAACTTTTTAATCAGAATTTTCACAAATTCTTCGGGTATATAGTTTTGTAGCCCATTTAATTAATTATTTTTTTTTTGTCGCGGGTGTTCAGCATTTTCTTCCATATAACGCACAAGCAAAATTTTATTTTGTATGGAGGAAAATGTGCTACACAGTTTTCAAAAACAAAAATATCGTACATCAACGGAAATTTTTAGCCACTTGGAAATTGCACTTCATTAAAATTGAATGGATACAAAAAAGTTTCTAAAAATTCCGATTAAAAAGTATGAAAATTTAATGAAAATTTTTGTGAATTTTATATAAAGAAGTACTCGTAATTCAGTTTATTTTTTCAGAATATTCAAAACGTTTTACATCATAAATATTTTTCGTTAATTTTTATTTAAAACATATAAATCAATCTTGCAAACTTTGTACAAAATTCACAAACATTAATTAAATCTGAGCTTGAGGTCGACTTGAATGAACTTTTTTTTTTGGGAAAAACGGCCTCAAGCTCAATAAAATTGTTGAATATAATTGTTATAAGGCCATAAATAACAAAAACAAAAATTAATTAAACTACAAAGAATTTTCATCAAAATTTCAAACTTTTTAATCAGAGTTTTTAGAAACGTTTCCATTCAAATTTACAAAAATTAATTAAACTTAAAAAATTTTCATAAAAATTGGAAACTTTTTAATTAGAATTTATAAAAAAAAAATTTCCGATATGCAGTTTTGTAGCCCGTTCAGTTTCAGTAAGTAAAGTCAAAGTTTCAAGTAGCTAAAGACTGCAGTTTAATTATTTTTTGTCTAGGCTGTAGCGCATTTTCTTCCATATAATACAATTATAGTTTGAAAAACTAAAACCTCCCTATTATAATTGCCATTCTTACTGTCATCAGGTATGTAACTTGAGAATAGAAATCTCTGCATCTTTTAGGCGCATCAATATTACATAGTTACATCCCGAGCTAATAAAAGGAAGGTAAAAATGGATTTTGTTTGTGCGCACTTTATTATACTGAAATTCAAAGCGCTACAAAAGTTTTAAGTTTGATCAAGTTTTGTGAATTTCGTACTAAGTTTGCTAGGTATATGTTTTTTTTTTATATACTGAGCTATATTTTAAATAAAAATTAACGAAAAGGATTTATAACGGAAAACATTTTGAATACTGAGAAAAAAACTTTTGGGTTATGTTTTGGAATGAATATTAGATTAGAACAAGGTGTGTGCTAACTTTTGACTCTGTATACATATATGTAAGCATGTTTGTTTGGGTCAAATCTTGCAATACATTTTTAACCAACTTCCAGATGAGGTAGAGACTTGAAATTTTAAACTTAACTCACAATTTGACAACGAATTGCGTGGAAAAGTTGGAAATATTGCCAAGTCTGACACGCTCTTTAGTCGTTTCGATTACCATGGTTTTACAAATTTTTTAAGGTGCAGTACCACTGAAACTACTAAAAGTGGTTGATTATGAAATTGTTATAATTTTTTTAAATTAAATTCAAATTTACCAAAACAGTTTGTGTTTGGTTTTGGTTTCATTTGCATAAAAATGGCTAAATACTTTATGAGATCGAGCCATATCCCATTAGGATTTAATCTAGGTAAACTTCAAAAACTAAAAACCTCTGTCCGTATTAAAAAAATAAAAAGATAACATTGTTTCAATAAGTTCTAAAAACGCCTAAACTAAGTTTTAGGTACAGACAACGGCAAACCTCCGAGTATACTTCTGCCATAAAAAAGCTTCTTCGGAGGTGGAATAAAACATCACAGCATCAAGAAGTAAAACACGAATTGGAGGAGAAGTTCGGCCAAACACGTAGAAAACGTTTAAGCGCCAAATATTCATTTATTGGAATCATATACATACAAAGCTCTACGACGACGGTAAAGCGGTCGGCGGTATGTCAACAGCTGTTTAGTTGCGGCAGTGAAATCCGTCCGAGTAAACAAAATTGCGACGGAAGACGGTTTCAGTCAGCTGTCATTTTGATTTGGAAATTATTAAATTGAAATTTTATTTTCTGTACGTGGTCATATGTTGACTTGCTGGAAACAAAATTGCATGCAAACGTTTGCAAACTTGTGAAAATTATAAAAATCATTACAATCAACCCTCAATCAAGAACGTGTACGCATGTTATTCTGGGTTTTGGTATAACATAGAACATCAAATGTTAATTAAGTCAAAATTGGTAAATTTGCACATTCATGCTTCCAGCATAAGGGAGAGATGATATGATATACTTTTCATTCCCAAATAATCTATTTACGGGTTTCCCTTGAACTTGAAAAAGCATTGAAAGCTTCAAAAAACTCGAAACTTTTATTTAGAGGTCAAGATTAGTATGAAATCAAAAAATCGGATTGTTCGATAAAAATTCCAGTTTATTCGATGTTCGAAAAATCAAGATTTCAAAAAAAAAACCTTTATGGTATCAATGTAAAAAAGTTGCACTAAAACCAATGTTAGTCGTTTCGACAAACACCAAGTTGTTACTCCAAATATATCTCAAGTTACCATGAGCAGCTGAGTAATTAAACGGAAAGAAAAAAGCTGCGATACTAAAAGGGAAAAACGACCCAACAAACATTAAGATTAGGTAACGATTAGAATTCTTATGTGTTTCTCTAAGGTAGAAGTTTAGAAGACGATTAGAGAAACTGTTGAGAATTATAATAATAATAATAGATTGGCGCTTACACATATGAGAGTGTTTGGTCGAGCCCATCCTCCGATTTGTAGCGTGCGCCTTGATGTCACACAAAGGGGAGGCGCCTACAGTTTTACGCCGACTTCGAACGGCGATTGTATTTTTATGAGAAACTGTTTGTCATGGTCGCCATTGCCTGCCGAGGGGCGACCGCTGTTAAGAAAAAAACCTTTTTTCTATATTTTTTGCGATGTTGTTTTGACCAGGACGATAATTTGAATAAATAAGTTTGTTAAATTTAAATATTCTTTAACCTTAATACTTGTTTACTTAATTAATTTAGTTGATTCCAATGATTTGAAAGGTACACAGCTGAAAAAAACTTTCACCCCTATTGCAAGTTTCGGCTAGTATTAGATAAACGAGTATTATTCGATTATCGCTTTTCCATGGTATTGTGAATGTTGATTTCTCGTTGAATAGCTTTTAGTCGCTCATCATCCTTCAACTGTTTATTTGTAGAAGGGGAAGCGCCTATAATTTATTCACACTGACTTATTGAACGAGACAACGACGTTCACAATACCATGGAAAAGCGTAAATCGAATAATAGTCGTTTATCTACTACCAGTCGACACTCGCAAAAGGGGTGCTTATGTAGTAATCGGAATCCAATCGCAACCAGGGCTCGCATCGTAACAGTCGTGAACGAGCAACTCGTCACGTAAAAATGCATATTTCGGATTATAACAGTCGTGAACGTACTGATCGTCTCACGCTCACGCTCGCATTGATCTGTATAGCAGGCTTTAATTCGGCGTTTCCACGATTCGTAATTCGCTCTCTCATTCGTAATTCGCCACGAACTACCTCATTTGTAGGTAATTCAGATCGAAATCGAATTACTAATATGTGCCGTGGAAACAGGGTAATTCACTAATTACTTACTTGCTGTCTCCACAGGCAAACGTTTTTATCTTGATAATGTTATCAGGAAAAATTTTACCAATGGAGCCCGCATATTGCTCTTGGCAAGCAATCATTATCAGAGCTTTTATCTTGATAAATATTGCCAGCAATTTGATACTTTGACAGCAATATTTTCATATGCGCGATAACTTCGTAGCGGCAACATTATTGATATATTAATATAAAAGCAAACATTGAGCTGTTTTCCATTAAAATATTTTTTAATATGTAATTGGGAGTGAAATAGCTTATTTTTTTAATTTTTGAGTGATTAAATCCGGCAAAAAGAGCCACCTTACAAATGCTTTTATCAAGATAAAATATGCCCACGCACAAATATTGCTCCTGATAAAATTTATTTCAGGCAAGAAAAATGAGAGTTGGTAGGCAAACAATTTTGCGTGTGGAGACGGGCTACTAACGAATTACTTAGATAGCGAATTACGAAGCGTGGAAACATCGTATAAGGAGACTAGCAGTACGTTCACGACTGTTATAATCCGAAATCTGCTTTTTTACGTGACGAGTTGCTCGTTCACGACTGTTACGATTTTAGCCCAGATTCGTTTTAGAAAGGTTATAGAAAATCTGAATAACGAGAAATATACACGTAGAACAGGTTTTTTGCCCATCTGAAAGAATTTTATAAATTTTATAAAAATTTATTATGTATGAAATGCAACCTTTTAGACACTAGCTGGCAGGGAAATTTGCAAATTCCTGCACGTTTTTCTACTTGAGAGAGAATTATTTCTTACTCTCTGATATTTTGAGTGATGGATATATGTTTGTCTACATAGCACTGACTTTAATGAGTGAAATCATCGATAGTAAAGGTATAATTTAAAAGCCATGTTCCGATCCGTAATTCAGCTCAGTATCACAATCAATTCTCACGAGAACCATCTGAACATTTTTTGTTGCGCCGCGGAGAAATGCGTATGGAAGCTGTTCTGTTCCCACATGCGCCCGATTTTACAAGATTTTCCAACAAGAACAATTTTTGTACGCGACCTCAGGGTTTATTAAAAAGCATATCCTTTCAAACCTGCAAATCTGACACAGTGCTTTTTTTTTAGTAAATATGTCGTGTAGCGGATTCAAATTGCGAATATTAAGACATTTAATTAATTTTAAATGATACCGTCAGTGCGATTATTAAATTTGTTGGCCAATTTATTGCGCAAATAACACAAACCACGGAATACACAGCTTTTTACTTTAGTAATTGTTATTGTAGTTATAACAGCATACAAATTCGCAAAGGAGTTTTTGGGAATGATGCTGGAGTGACAGTTCTTGGCCATATATAAATCTGGGTCGTTATGGTAACGTAGACCCGACTGCCGTAGTAATTTGATACGCCTATTCGTAGCATTGTTGATAATGGCGTTTCAGATTATCAGATTATCGGTAGTGTTTTTCACCATTATGATTATAAATTGTAATTGGTAGTTGATAGAAGTGGGAAACTATCGATGGTCTTCGCTATTTCTGCAAATACTATCGATTCTATCGCGATAGTATCATAATTAGCTGTGTTTTCTTGGGCATTGATCGGGATGTAAACATAAAATTTGCACGAAAATTCAACAAGCAACAACAACGACATGATTCTGATACATATCTGTAGCAAAGAACGTAGATAACAAGAAGGGACAACTCGTTATAATTGTGGCGAAAGTGCGCAACAGGGACGTGCCTTCTCTTTTGCCCTAGTGCGTTTTTTGATTGGATTAAAAGAGAAGGCACGCCCCTGTAGCGCACTTTCACCACAATTATAACCAGTTGTCCCTTCTTGTTATCTACGTTCTTTGTCTGTAGTTCGTTGCTGTAACTTTTCTCTACCGATTATTTCTGTACTGGTAGAGAATATACGTCATTCTGTACTACTCATTAGCAGTAGAGAACAAGGCGGCGACATCATATCTCAATTCGCCTTGGTCGAGAATTGTTACAGAAACGAGCTACTGGTTCAATTTATGATCTGTGTTTTGTTTCACTAATAATATGGCAGTATTGTTTGGTATTATTGAAAAATTAATGTATACACAAACAGATATTCTGCCATTGTTTCTTTTAACTTGTTTCAAATAAATCGCCTTTATCTTAAAAATGTATTTAAGTGAATATTATTCAATTTATTATCTTAATACATTTTCCATTGCTCAGGGTGCAATCTTATTTTCTATCATTCTTGGAATCGCGAATATTGGATGACAGTTCCTTGAAGTTTGACACGCCGATTTGGGGACATCGGTAAAGAAACTATCGATTGTTTTTAAAACCATCGATAGTGTTGAAAAATTAAGACTATCGATAGTACCATTGATAGTTGTACACCTCTAGTAATTAACGACAAACAAGAAAATAGATAACACCAGAATTGCTAGGTTTATAAAACGCTGAGATTTTCAATGAATTCGCGCATACTTTTAAAGTAAAACAAAATATGCAAGCATTAAATACTTCAGCAAACGAAGGAAGTTGTAACACCACATCGCCACCTGAGGATTGGCACTATTGGTGCCGGCTTTGTGCGAAAATGGATATTCACAGCCAAAACGTATTTTTTTGTTATGAACCTCTTACCCTAGAAAAAACGGATGCTAAAGACTCTACAATGGTCAAAACGATCGGAAAACATTTTTGCGTGCAAGTATGCTATTCAACTTTATTGCTTATTCTTTATCGCATAACATTTTTGTGTAATATTTTTTGTGCAGATTAAATACGATGACGACCTTCCAAAATCGTTATGCACAGGATGTGTTTCATTGTTGTCAACTCTCACAAATTTCGAAGAACATGTTGCCAAAGTACAAAAAATGTATACTGCCTTGCAAACTGGTTACTACGGTAAAGATATAGACTCCCATTCCGTTAGAATGAAGTATGACATTTTGAGAAAAGACGGGGCAGAGTTGTTCATAAGCCCATACGAGGAAAAGTGCGTTAATGAAATAGCAGCAACTAACTTAGAAATAGAAATAAAAGAAGAAGACCCTAATAACTGTGCCCAGGTCGATGAAGTTACATGTGCATTTGAGGATGTGGAAGCAGAAGCTGAAGCCGAAGATCCATTTGCCAGTGATATTGACATTGATCACGATGAAAGGAAGATATTTTCTGCAAAACGATGCAGCGAAGCCACTAATACGCTAGATAATAAAATTTCCCACATAAAATCGTCAAAAGAACAACGTAAGAAACTCAAAACAAGACTGAAAAACACTGAACAGGAAGGTTTACTTACAGATGATAATAAACTAAAATTAATACAAAGCGAAAAAAACAGTCCCGGCAATAAGTCCAAAGGATGTCTTGATGCATCTAAGCGAGCGTCAAGTGATGACAAATATTTTTGTAGCGACTGCTCACTGCATTTTCAGCGTCCTGGTAACTATCGTATTCATATGAAGAAAAGACATGGAAAGGCATTAGAACCTTTGACTTGCCCCCAATGTCCGAGATCCTTCAGAACGATATCTGGGTTGAATGTTCATTTAAAAAAACATGTACCATTGTCTGAGAAGCGAATATTTCCATGCCCGCAATGTGATAAAAAATTTCCGACAAAAGAATATGTAGCCACACACATAAAATTTGTGCACGAGGATTTTCGTCCATTTATATGTGAAGAATGTGGCGAAGCTAAACGTACGGAAGCTGCTCTAAAAGAGCACAGGCTTATACATACTGACCTCGCTCCTTTTGTTTGTGAAATATGTAAGAAAGGCTTTAAAAATAAATATCGCTTAAAGGTAAGCCTGTCCACTTTATAATTTTATAAAATAACTTGGTAGTTGTTTTACAGAAACATATGGACATTCATAGTTCCAATAAGCACATTTGTAGTGAGTGTGGGCTCGAACTGAATTCGCGTGTAACTTTAAATCGACATATGCTCGTGCATTCAGATATTATGCGTCACAAGTGCGATTATTGCGGCCGAGCATTTAAGCGAGCAAAAACACTGAAAAGTCATTTAATACTCCATAGTGGTCTAAAGCCATATTCTTGTGACTTTTGTGATAAAACCTTTGCTAATGGAGCTAACTGTCGTACTCACAAAAAAAAATCTCATCCAGAGGAATTAGCTGCATTAGAGGCGTCAGGAGCAAAGATATATACTAAGAATATACCTAGGTTGGCTGTGTTAAAGACAGTGTAAGAAGAAATATATATTTAAAAAAATATTGTTTAACATACGGACACCGCGGTATTTTAATATTTATTTCAGAACACAAACAGCAGAAAACCTTTTTCCTGTTGTCTCCAAACAGAGCGGTAATTTTTCAATGGGTAGAAAACCGAAGCCTCCAATTGATTGTAATGTTGGCACAAGAGATTTCCATATGCCCACGAAGGGAGATACGTCTTCTGAGGTCGTACCATTAAGCAGTCAAACAGTTTTTTAAAAACAAAAGTTCGGAGCCCGTTACTTGCATAAAAATAACGTATCGTAATTTTCGTAATAAGAAATTAGACATTAGTATTTTTTGTAAAGATGTTTTTTTTTTTTATTCTGTATGCGTGTACATACATCGCACGTTTGCCGAAAGATCGTCTTGATAGGGAAATTCCAAAATGCGAGAAAAAGGCTTTAAAATACCTAAAATTGTCGAAAAGTGATTGTTTTGACAAATTTCATTATGAGACAAAATTGACAGATAACATGAAATTTCTTAACACATAAAACAACAGCTAACCACCCTTTCAGCAAGCTTAACTCAGTTTTTTTTATTCGGATTGTGACGTTCTTCCAACAAACGAGCGACATGTAATTGCATGTAAAAATATTTTAAAAAATTAGCCTAAAATTTTTTAGACTATGACAGCTTTATTGGTTATAGAAATACAATAATGTGCTGTTTTGTCAATACCCTTGTTGAATTTTTGTTTTGGTACCAATTCGAGCATAAGCTGATGGGTTATGCTTATTAAAGTACTAACGAATGAGGTAACTGTGTCAGACGACGCTTGAATAGTCTGCAAAGCCCGAACCAAATCGCTGTGTCAATTTCGTAGGTCGGAGTAATGCCGTTCGGTGATTTTCGCCTCAACATTTCGCCCAGTAAAACAAAAACGAAATTCGCATCAATTAAATTACAAATAAAATATATAAAAGCGAAAAGATGAATGACCAAATTTTGCCATTCTGATTCTTGCTGATAATTATCTGCTAGAAAAATGGGGAAACAAAGCTACATTTCCACTGAGAGCTAATTTTGTGACCGGCGGCAGCGGTAAAATTAAAAATAAATCTATTGTCGAGCTTCGTCGCCGCTTTGGTTGTGTGCACTCATATACCCTACAAGAATTGTGTGATGGAAACTAACACATTTTCATTTAGCTTACTAACACATTTGCAAATTTTGCCTTGGTTAAAAAGAGACCACTAAATAAGGCCATAAGTCAGAGGAAGACGGAAGATCACATGTACACAAATATTTACATCACGTTTTGCTCTTACAAAGTTGATAGAAGTACTTGATTGAGATTTCCATCACCAGTGAGTGTCACATGATCAATCAAATGTTCTTGATCACTGTTCTTGTAGGGATACTAACAGCGAGCTTTCTTCCGGCGAATTTCTCTGAGCGATTTAATTCTGTTTACACTTTCAGATAGGCTGAGTTGTTTTATATAATATGTGAGTTCTATATTTTCCAGGGCATCGGAGCAAAGGTTTTTTCTGAGCCCTCGGCTCTAGCTTCGGCTGGGTAGTTCATTTTGATCCCGCTCCCCTTAAAACAGAACTTTTTTATTTATTTATATAATTGTATAATTACATATCGAGCCTTAACTGCTTAAAAAGTTTATTTTTGATGCATCTACACTAATAATAATAATAGATTGGCGCTTACACATATGTTAGTGTTTGGCCGAGCTTCTCCTTCGGTTTGTGGCATGCGCCTTGATGTTGTCACACAAATGGGAGGGACCTACAGTTTTACGCCGAATCCGCACGGCGATTTTTGAGAAGCTGTGAGAAAGCTGGCAGAAATACACGTGGTTTTGCCATTGCCTGCCGAGAGACGATCGCTGTTAAGAAAAAGCCTTTTTTCTATATTTTTTCGTGATGCATCTACACTGGTTGCAGAAATAATATACTATCCCTATTTGTACCAGTTTTGGCTATATTTATTTGGTTTTTTAATGTTTTTTTTTATAAAAGTCTAGCTAGTTATTCAACAAACAAAAAAATATAAATCCGCATTTCAAACACTACGAAAACTATAAAAATTCGACAAATTTTCGTATATTTTTTCAAAGTTTTTATTCAGAACTAGGGAATACCCGGCTTGCTTCACTGCGACTTAAAAGTATTTTTGTGATGTTTGATACCCGTATTGTAAACTAAATATTCACCCTCATTGCGAGAGACGTGTCGAATGCAAGTAGTTTTTCGAGAGTCGAATCGTATAGAAAATTTCACGTCATTGCCTAAAATTTCCACTCGACTAGTGTATTAAAACGCAAATACTTGGCAGCACTTTATAGTTTTCGACGATTTTCGTCGTTTACTTATTTCAGTACGACAATAGACAATGCCAATGTTGTCGAGTCGTACAATTTAGCCTAATTTACGACTTACGCAATGAGGTTTAATATTTCTTCTTCTTCTTTTTTGGCGCTGTAACCGCCTAAGCGATTTTGGCCGAGTTCAGCAAAGCACGCCAGTCTTTTCTCCTCCGTGCCAACTGACGCCAATTGGAAACGCCAAGTGAAGCCAAGTCCTTCTCCACCTGATCTTTCCATCGCTCCCTCTTCCTCTGCTACCACCAGCGGGTTCGGAGTTGAATACTTTCAGAGCTGGAGCGTCGGTGTTCATTCGAACGACATGACCAAGCTGTATTTTAATTCGCTGCACTATGTCCATATCGTTGTAAAGCTCATACAGCTCATCGTTCCATCGTCTGCGGTACTCGCCGTCGCCAACGCGTAAAGGCCCGTAAATCTTCCGCAAAATCTTTCTCTCAAACACTCCAAGAGCCGCCTCATCGGATGTTGTCATTGTCCATGCTTCTG